AAATAACGGACACTATCAAATATTGCAACTGTTGACAAGTGTCAATGGATAAATGGCGGAATGATGAATACAAATGAATTTATGCATTAACTTTTTTTTGCAGTTTGCAATTTTATCGAACTGAATTTCTTCAAAATAACATATAGATTCGTGCACATCATTCATCATTATTTCTCCAATGAAATCATTAACAAAAAATGTGTAGATGATTTATTTTTTATTCCTTCAATTCAATTCTAAAATATGGCGAATGCGCACACATGGTTTTCGAATGTTGCCGAGACTGAAGTATGTATACCTATTTATTTTCCATTTTGGAAGTGTTAGTTCCAGGGACAAGATGATCAGTAATTTGATTATCAATAGTTTTGTTCCATACTCACACTTTCAATTGCAAAAGAGGTAATTCTACGACAAGAAAGTATTGAATACCTACCTAATTAGTGAAACAAAACAAAATATCTATTTCACTAGAAGGATAGCATCAAACGATAGAATTCTGAGAGATTCAACAAATCCATCATTCAATTTCGGAAAATCTATCACATGCCAAAAATATTGGTTTTAGAGGGTTTGATACCATTAATAGAACCACAGATAGAAGACGTTGGTGGGCTACTTTCATTCTACTACATGTAAAGATCTCAGTTGAGTTTTTATAATATCTCATATGATGAGAGCACTCACAGAATATTTATAACTAATGGCTAGTATTTCAGATACTTGCTGCTTTACATTCATTTGCACGAGGATTCTATCAGGGGGACTGATTCTAATGTATTAATGTCTCAACCAAGAATGTCAACCAAGAAGGTCAATTCTCAATTTCAGAGGATTTTTATTTTTCATGCTCTTATTTTGGATGTTCAACAGATATTATTATAATTCGATGTTCGACGTGGCAAATAGCCAGGAAAGTAGTTGTTTTCTGTTGAATATTCAGAATGATGTTATGTGCATATACATATTTTTATCTGAAGGAGGATGCAAATTCTCAACTTCAGAAGATGTTGTTTTCAAATTCTCATCGTGTTTGTTCAATGTTCGTTGTGGCACACTGGAAAAAATAGGCGGTAGTAATCACCAAACGTTGAGTAAAATAGGCGCCAGTCACAACATTCATCTAATGATACCACTACAACATCATATAATACTATACTTTATCAAATATTACCACTACAAAATAGTATGATCCTTATAGTTTAGTATGATACAATTTTTGTAGTGGTATTATTTGATAAACGTAGTGACTGGCGCCGCCTATTTTACGAAATGTTTGGTAATTACCGTCTATATCTCTGAGTGCATATAGACAGAAAAGAAGTTTTTTTGTTGAATGAACCCAGAAAAAATTGATATTTTCATCACATAGAGAATGCGAATTCTCAATGCATTTCTTTATAAATTATCCATTTTCATAATTTATCTGAGAATATTCCTTTTCAATACTTTCACCCAATCAAGGGGTTCAAACTTGAACGATGGAAACTTATTATTTTTTTAAACCTCTAATCGCAGATTTGCTTATAGGCTTTCCCAATTCAGAATTTCTTTTCACGCCCTGTATGATGAATACCAATTTGTCATACATTCAAATATAGTTATTTACATTTTTGAGTAGTTAATCGAGTAGTTGATCTCTATTTTGATTCCGCAGCTACAACAAGACAAGATAATTGATGGATTAGATAGTTCAAAAATTTCAACTCAGCACATCAGAGTGTAAAAACCATCATCAGAGATAATATGCTATATATACACATCCAAGAAACTGTTAGATTTCGTATTTTGAAACATTATTTTTCACCTGTGATCCATCGTAGTTTTTCCATTTCTCAAAACTCTAGACCACCCTGTAGAACTGAAAAGAACGACCGAGGTCAAAGAATACGCCACTGGAAATGATGTATGCCCTGCCCACGAATGAGCTTTTTTTTCTCATCATTCGAGAGATGAGAGATGTATAATACGGTTTTCCGAAAGTAGGTCAGCATCAGCTCAGCTTCAATTTCGATGGAAGAAAGGCTGTTATTCCGTATATTAATGCTCCATTGTCGACTCGTCGATTATTCAGTTACATTGATATAAACATGGGTCCAAAATGCTTCATTTCCAAATAATATTTAATATGGTTTTGTACAAGATTTTCTCGCCTAGTATCAAGGTATATCTTTATGAGTTAATGCGATCTATACAGGATGTGATAGCTCGTCCAAAAATATGAAAAAAAGTATGTACCAACTCACCCTCTGAAATGCACCATTTTCGAGATACAGGGTTTGGAACCGTTTATCGCAAAGAAAACAGCTCATGTAAGCATTTTCTCGAGCATTTTCTACTCATAGTAAACTATGTTTTGTATAGAATTGGTTTTTCCTTCAAGTCATAATTGGTGAAGATTTTGATGAGTTATTTGGTGTTTTTCTTCCCAACTTCAACGCAACTGAAAAAAGTACAGTTCTCAGCCGCTCATTTGAATCGTCAATGTTTTCTTCACAAGAAAGGTGATCTTGGTCATGAGCTGTAAAATCGACCGTTTTCGAGAAAAATCCACTTTTATAAAGAAAAACATATGAAAAATGTGACAAATGCAGCCTATCGAACCGAACATACGCCATTTTTATGCGAATTACAATTATATGCAATGATTATAACGTGGATATTGAAGGTTGAACAAATCACTGACCATAACCATACCCACTGAATAACATATACAGGGTGTTTCACAGGTAAATATTTCAATGGTAGATAGGGGTCACCAAGGTGGTTCTGAAAATACCATATGTGATAGCTCTTAGAGTCTTCATAATGGAGATACAGGGCGATTTATCGATTTCGAATAATTATTCATTCGTCTATATGTATTGACCTACCCAGTATATTTTTCTCAAATTTGATAAGGAGCTTATACTTGGGACGTTAAATTCATTCACATATCGGGCGGAGTGAAAATCTATAGGTTCGGCTTCAGGAGAAATTTACATTTATTCGAAATATCAAAATAACACACTGTATTTAATAATTAACACAGTACATCAAAAGAATTGTGAAGAGGAGGAAAAACTTAATTGGGTTTGATGCTTTTCCAGTGTCAATTATGATTATTCGACATTTTAGTCAAAAAATCGCTTTAAAGAACTTACTAAGTCTCACAGTCAATATAACGGAGATACAGGGTGAATTATCGGTTTCGAATAATTATACACTCGCCCGTGAGTATAACTACCCAGTAACATTTTCTCAAATTTTGTATGTAGCTTACTTGGGACGATGGATTCATCAACCTATCAGGTGGAATGGAAATAATACTACATAATTATTATTTCGATAATTCTTCTTGTATTTCTGTTATAAAGACTATGCGACTTTTCCTGAAGCTGAACCTGTATTTCCATTCTGCCTGATAGGTCAATGAATCTATCGTCCCAAGTAAGCTCAATACCAAATTTGAGGAAATATGACTGCGATGGGTAGTTTAATACTTATATGGACTAGTGAATAATTATTCGAAACCGATAATTCACCCTGTATCTTTGTTATAAAGATTGTGAGACTGAGTAAGCTCTTTCGAACGATCATTTAACAAGAATATATCAAATAATCATAATTGAAAGTGGTTTCATAATTTTAATACTCTTCAAATTGACATACTTTTAGCTTTCTGTTTATGATTGTTACGATTAGAATTATTCGTGGTGGGAAAACAAAAAGCATCAAATCCATATCAGTTTTTCCTCCTCTTCACGATTCCTTTGATGAACTCTGTCAATTATTACATACAGTGTGTTATTTTAATATTTCGAATAAATGTTAATTTTTCCTGAATCCGAACCTGGATTTTCAATTCGCTCTATAGGTGAATGAATTCAACGTCCCAAGTATAAGCTCTATACCAAATTTTAGAAAAATATACTGGGTAGTTCAATACTTATAGACGAATGAATAATTATTCGAAATCGATAAATCGCCCTGTATCTCCGTTATGAAGACTCTGAGACCTATCAAATATGGTATTTTCAGATCCACCTTGGTGACCCCTATGTATCATCGAATTATTTCCCTTTATCTGTGAAACTCCCTGTATATACAGAATCCAAAAAGTGAATGTGAAACATTGGAAATCTCAATTCTCTCAAATGGAACCCCCATTTTTTCTTCTCATAACTCAATTCTCTAATGAAAATGAGCCCAATTTCTAATTCATTTCCCTACATCCGAAACCCATCGATACTACTTTATTCTGCGAAAACTCCATGTGATTTTGGACTTTTCTAGTTGACAGTGAATCTGACAGAGAATAACTTGAATTCATTTGTTGACATATATTTTGCACAGTCTACTAGAACATTCAAAATTTCAGGCAGTTATTATGTAGAACTAATTGAGTACCATATTCATGGAAAATCTCCGAAATTATAGGTTTTGGGTAGAAGGAAAAAAATTAGAAGTTGGGCTCATTTTTATTATAGAATTGAATGAGAAGGGGGTTTCCATTTGAAAAATTGAGATCTTCAAAGATTCACATTAACTTTTTGGACCCACTTTTTTGCGCAACCTGTCAATTATTCAGTGGTTCTAATTGTGTCATGTGATCCGTTCAACCTTCAATATTCACGATATAATTACTGTATGTCACAAAAAATTGCAATTCACATAAATATGGCTGCGCCTTTTTTAATTTTTCTGTAGAAAAACTCGAATAACTCAAGAACAATTCATCTGATTTCGAAAATTCACGGAGGCTGTTTTGATGAACTTCTGAGAACGCAACATTTTTTCCCATTTGACCGAATTTTTATCTCGTACCGTTTTCGAGCTCCCCATGCTGTGCAACCTCATCTTGGTCTCACTGTATAAGCGCTTATTCTTATTAAAATAGTCAAATTTAGCAGAATATTTCAATGTTCCGTTTACTTATACTAAGGTATCATCGACTGTGAGACACCTTGTATATTCATCATGTTTTGTTCTTTATTAACGGGCCAACATTCTGATGTTTTATGTTTGTTTCAGCTGAATACAACATCAAAAGGAAGAAACGGAAAATTGGTCTACCGTATTCTGGCGGTATTTCTGTTTCTCAGATACTGGCCCATCGAGAAAAAGTAGCTTTAAATCAACATAGTTTTAACAAGGAACTAGTCGGAAACCCTCACCAGGTTAGTTGATTTCTTCATTATTTCAATATTTAAAAAAATCATAATGCCTCGAAATTTTTTAAGTTGAGTATTCATCATTATTATTTGAAAACAAGATGCATAATTATTATTGTACACAGAACAACAAAGTGATAGGTATGTTCTCATTCGAATGCAATGCAATGGACATTATTTTATTATTTATTGTCCACCAAACCGCTCCATCGAAGTATGAGGTCAAATTTGATAGAACTGATGAATATACTTCTTACTTTCGTGTCATTTGGCCTTTTGCTATGATCTCTTCTTCTCGGTCAATGTAAGAATTGGTCCTAATTTCCACATCCAGAGTAAAAAAACGTAAGTCTGCTCAATTATTTCCATAACTTTAGGTTTTTTATTTGTTCCAATATTCTTCATCATTTCATCCGAATATTTCGACTATTCCACTCTTCATCATCTCCAATAGTTATCTTCGTATCTAGAGCGCAAAATGCTACTCATACTAAAAAAATAGTCGAGATGACCGAAGTATTTCGCGCTCGAGTTGCAAACAACATTTTTGCTACAAACGTCAAAAAATATAGTTCTAAAGTAAAAATATGCTTAGCTTGACATAATGAATAGTGTTGAACTGGCTTAAAAGGCTTCCCCCTATCCTCCCTAGGTACGCACGATGTTCCACGAACATAATAGGAATTTCCTTTCGTGCGCTCCAAGAGATAATACGAAGTTATTGTTGAACATTCAGAAATAAATGATTCCGTGGATGTTTGCCCGATTGAGGACCATAAAGTTGAAATATAAATATGTCATATATTTTACATAACAATGTGCGAAGTATATACTTCGCGAACTGTTTTACTTCGCGCATTGTTTTGTGCAAGGTATCATGGTAACGTAGAAAACTGAAAAAAAGTGTCACTTCGCAATTTGTTATCAATGCGCGAACCTTATCATTTTTTGACGTTTGTAGAAGAAATCAATTGAAGACCACAGGGGAAAACGGGGGAATGTCACAAAAAGTAAGTTTCGAGAAAAACGCGTTTCAAAGTTTGAAACTTTTTGGAAGTTGAAGGAAACTGAAATCAAACCACCTGGATTCATTTGAAGGAGTATAATGAGCGATAAAGTTGAACAACTAGAAATAAAAATCATATTCGAATGAAAAAATCATCGAAAAAAAGAAATAAGTCCAAAGATTCAAGGGAAAAATTGGGAATGTCCAAATAAATTGTCAAAAAACTGGATTGTTCACTCGCAATTATCTGCTCTGGTACATTTCTCCATTCTTGCCTGACTACCTAATGAGCGGTAAGTTGTCATATGGTACAGCTACCATCTCTATAATTTGATCATTTTCTATAAATTTTACGCGATATGAGTAGGAATCATCATGTAGCATTCTCATTATTTTATTATCATGACTCAGACTTATTCGACAAGCCCAGTCAACACACTTTTTTGTCGTCAACCTCGAAATATGTCGAACAACTCTTTACCAAAACTCGTTTATACATAGAACGGCAAAGCTTTGGAATTTTTTGCTTAACAGAGTATTCCCAAGAGTTTATAATCTCCAAAAGTTGAGAAAAATCCCAATACTTACCTCCTCTCCCTATCCTCCCTAGGTACCCATGCAGAATGTTCCCCGAACATTATACGGATTCCCTTTGGTACGCTTCAAGAGATGAAAAAATGGTGGCCGTATCTCTTTTTTTTCTCATATTTTGTTTACCTGAGAGTTCACTCTGACCTTTTGACTACGCTGCGTTATTGCTATGGACTTCTGTTTATACTGAAATATATAGTGGTTAGGCAATCAGATGGCGGTGTCAAGTCAATTTCCACTATATTGTGACATTCCCTCTATTTCTCATGTGGTCTTCAATTAAAATCGGCCATTTTCACTGCTTTTTCTGTATAACCAGCGATATTGTTTTGTTTACTAAATTCTATCGAACTTGCTGTACCAATATATTATACAGAAGCCGAATTGACCCACACGTGACCAACATTCCTCGTTTTTCAGCCATTAAATTTTGGACGTTTAAAACGTCAATTACGTTGGAAGCCAGAATGACGGATGCAGTGTGCGCAACTCTCTTGAGCCTCTCGTTTATTGTCTCAACTCTGGAAATATTCGTCGATTGACATACTCCAACTTGCTGCTTTTATTTCGCCCATGACATCGTTCCAAAACTCCTCGCCTACTGCTCGAAAGTTTTGCTAAACAATGTCATTCGGTGAAATTATTAGGCAACAAGCTGTCGTAACAATCGCCGAATATTTTTAGCAAAATTTTATCACTTGTGGTATTACATCTTATGATAAAACAGGCAACAACCTTTGGGGCTATCCGGCAAAATTTTGGGATTTTTGACTTTGACATTGACCTGATATACGACTGAGGCTATATTCCGAATTCAACTGGTCAGTACTGTCAGCACATCCACTGACTCTGCTGAGAATATTTGTTCCGAAATATAAAATAAAAAATACAGTGCTTTAATTCGGAACACGTTTTCATGGTTTTCATCAGTAGTCAGCAGCAGATGATCAGCTGGTGAAATTTTTCAGTATGTTATCTCGTTTATCTGAACTAGATTATTTTGCCTCCTGCTTGACATACATTTTGGAAATTTGTAGCCTTCATAGTTTCTTCGATTGTTGACGATGACGATTCAAGCTCGAGTGATGAAGAATTCTTGGACATTTATGTAATATAGCATCAATGATTATGAATTCAGGAAACATTTATTCATTTACCCAATGCTGCTTCTTCTTTCGTCACCTCTCTTCTACTTCATACTCTATATAATCTTTATATTATATTCTCAGCGTTTATTATTTCGATAACGGGTATTTTCTGATATCGAAAATAATATAATTAACAACGGAAATAAATGTAACATTCCTTCCCCCTCTAAAATAATGACAGTTTACTGAAGCCACACTACCTTTTGATACTCAGCAATTTCATCAGAATGTTCAGTCGAAATATTTGGAATGAATAGTATATCTGCTCACAAGCATCTGTCACATTCAGTATTCAGTGATTTTTTTTATTTCGGTGAAAAATCAGCAGATTCAGTACTGTCAGTTGAATTCGGAATATAGCCAGAATTTAAGATCGTATTATTTAGATTTTTTAGAAATGATTTGGAGCAAAGAGAACTTCACTTTTGACTGTTTATTTGTGTACTCTTGTGAATCGAGCGAGCTTTTCAGCAGATATTCGTTCAATGAAGTGTGTGTCACTACTGCAAATACAAATGCTCCAATTTGAGGTTACATTAGTTTGCATTTTCGTTCCCATTCTGTAGTAAATATTGTAAAATACTTGGAGTGAATATGATTTTGAAGTTCACAGAGTGGGTATTTGAGATGTATATATTGTAGTCGAATCATCTACTTACATGTGTTAATATGAAAGAGAAAAAGTCTTCGAAGCTGGATGTATATGTGAATAATTGATCTACCTCTGGTAGGAAACATTGAACATATTAAGTATGTGCTTTGCTGTGAGTGAAGATATCATTTTTTAAAATTTCTTCTGTTACTTCACCTCTGGGAATAAAATGCAACTGAATTCAATCTCGAAGTTCAGAGAATATCTTTCAATTGTACTCTAATTGAAATCATCATTTTCTGTGAAATGCAGAAAACTATCATGAATAACATGAAACCGAACAATAACGATTCAAGATACTCTACTGAAGAATTCAAATTCGAAAAGTTTCACAATGACTACTAAACTTTCGATGAAATGCATGGAAGCTTGACTGTAAACAAACATTCAATGTACAGTCGTCTTCAGAGATCATGTCGCACATGGACGGTGTCAGCTCCCTTGATCACCGCTGCAATAAGAGCGCTCATACCGTCCAACTGCGACATGTTCGTTGAAGACGACTGTACTTTCCAATGCTTATTTGAATGTATCGCTTATTTTGAATCGCCTATAACCCTCGTCATGAAAATTTAGGACGAAGTGGTCATAAACTCATTTCAAACTGAATACCCCGTTTTTCATAACATTTTTAAATTCCACGATATATGGGTACGAAAACATTCGTTCCTATGGTTATCGGCTTACTACGATTACCGTGAAAAACTTTGAATAAGCATCTTTGAAATGCGTTATCTCTAAAAGTTTCAACACTGAAGTTCTCAAATTTCCACCAGAGACAGAAACATAAAAACTTTCAACGAACGGTTCACGCGATAAACTTTGTTAACAGAGTGTTAACAGAATTTGGAGATGAATGATGAAGGTAATAGAAAACGAGAAAACAAAAACAAAATATACAGTGTGTGCGATTTCAGCTCGCAAAACTCTCTGAATTCGGAACCCATTGCCCGTTTTTCTTATACAAACATTTCATAATATAGTAGATACCCTTTTCCAAAATGTGGACAAATAGACAATACCTTATTTCTATGGTTTTGTTGACGGGGTCAAAACGAGGGTCAAAAACTGTATAGCCTATCTGTTTCAGGCAGTGCTGAGCTACAAAATGTTGACGCAATACCTCATATAGGGTGTTAGTTACTCAATGGCAAAATTTAATATTTCTGATCTTCAATTCACCCTGTATCAGAATCTTCATACAATCAGTGAAGTAATCGTAATCATTCAATGGAAAAACACATCGAATACTTGAAACTTTGGCGGCCTGCACAGAGTGTCCCAAATTTGAGGATTATCATTGGAATATCGGTAACCATAGCAGATACAGAGTCGGTTAAATATCAGGGCAACGTTTTTCAATTTGATTCTGATCGAAATGCCTCCTCGAAAGTTTGGAAAATCGGAATTCTTCCGGAGATATTTGAAGAAAACCGAATATCCGCGATTTCGTTTATATTTTTTCTGACTTTATTTGAAGAGATGTGACAAAATACATTTTTTATTATCATCCTCACTTTTCCGCTCTATCCAATGGTATTAATTGATTTGTGATCCGAAATATTGTTTTCAAGAAGACATCATAAACTTTGTTCCTTTAAATGGCCGA